GCGATGCTTTGGTTCACAGGCCTGCACCCAATCCACTGAGCTACACCAGCCAGGGCCATATGTTGAACTTTTTTTTTTTATTTTAAGATTTTATTTATTTATCTTTAGAGGGGGAGGGGAGAGAGAGAGAAATATCAATGTATGGTTGCCTCTCGTGTGTCCCCTGCTGGGAACTGGCCTGCAACCTAGGCATGTGCCCTGACTGGGACTCGAACCGCGATACTCTGATTCACAGGCCCATGCTAAATCCACTGAGCCACACCAGCCAGGGCCATATGTTGAACTTTTAAAGCTAGAAATACTAAAGATTGCAGGCTACCACAAAAGAAAAGCATTGTGGAGCCCTTAAAAAAGTGAAAAATAGGAGCGGCAAAAAAAGGAATACTTTTGGATTACCTGAAGGGACAAAATACAAGCCTTTCAAAACAACCAATGGTATTTGAACAGGTATCCATAAGAAGCAGGAACCGAGAAAAACTCATCTAGATATTGGAATGCAGAGAATTAGTTTGGAGAGTTCAATGTGGACAAAAAGAATGAATTCCTGGGTACAAGCTAGTTTCACCATCTCCAAAATTAAAAGAGGAATATAGTCTCTGTATATTCTAAGGAAACTCACACATTCAGCTTCTGATAAAGGACACACTGATTCTTTCTGAATCAAATTCCAGAGCCTTGGGTGGCATCATTTCCTAATCCTATTAGATGGCAGCTCAACATAGAGCATACTTTGATTTGGATAAATCCAGACTCTTTGAGGAATCAGGGCACTGAATATATCACTGGTTAAGGGTGCCATACTACTGATGTTGAGGTTACAGACTCAATACACGTGTGGGCAAGTTTAGTAGCTGTGCACAATAAGACAGTTTTATATTATGTTGACAGCCACATTAAAGTAAACTATGCAGGGACTTAATTGTGAGGCCAACTAGACAAGACATGTGGATAGACATGTGGATAGACAATGGCTACATAGTATATACAATGGAAATATAATTTCCCCAATCATTTCAACCATTCAATTTTTAAAAAAAGATTTTATTTACTTTTGGGGAGAGGGGAAGGGAGGGAGAAAGGGAGAGAAACATCACTGTGTGGTTGCCTCTCGCACACTCCCTGCTGGGGACCTGGCCCCAAACCCAGGCATGTGCCGTGGCTGGGAATGGAACCAGTGACTCTTTGGTTTGCAGGCGGGCACTCAGTACACAGAGTGACACTAGCCAGGGCTCAACCATTCAAGTTTTCATGACTCCTCTTGTATGCCTAATACTTGTTCCAGGGTGAATAAAAGCCTGTCCTGTATACTTGATATTTATTGAAATAGCAAACAAGACTATTGCCACATTTTATAGGATGTCTTAACAGGCTGCCTTGATGGATAAGTGCACACTGAATTTTCCATGCAAGTTCCAAGAAGCTATGAAGGGAGAGGAATCTTGAAGCTCCCAGAAAAAGAACCCAGAGCCATTTTGTTTTTGACTTGTACCAAAAAAAAAAGGTTATTTCCCATTAATAAAATACCTTATGGGTGATCAAATCAAGTGTTTTCCTATAGTCATTTTAACCACGAAGTGATCTTCATTTGACTCTTTGAATTCTAATTACAAAAATAGTTACACACTGACATTCAGGTCAGTTCTCTGGGGCCCAGCGATCGAACATTAGGATGTCCAAAAGTGTCTTCCAGGGCTGTGGGAGGCCACTGCTGTATTACCTTATTTCACAATTGTTGTCATAAATTTCTACAGAAGATCAGAACTCACAATTGAACTAAAACTAAACAAACAAACAAAAAAACGAAACCAGATTTCCATGCATTAAAAAGCTGTGAAATAGAAGGTAGCTATATATTATCAAAGGTCACATACAGCTACTGATATACTTGGCACATTCCAAAGAAATGCTGTGCCCACTATAGGGAGGTATTGTCATGGTTATCATGCAATGTCAAATTTTGCCCCAGATAAAAGATTTCAATATGATGTTTAAACAACTAAACTTAAATAGTTTGAGGTTTTTTTCATACATGCTATTGTGAAATAAATGATAATCAGTAGGAATCCATGGAAGTATCAACATTAGAAAGTAGCTTACTTCATATGAATTAAGTCAGTGTCTCATTTACACAAGGATGCATTCAACTAAGTATGTATTGGGGTTATGTCTTAAGCCAATTGCTTATGGATCTAATCTAGTAAAATTCTATATATAACAAATGAAATAATTTTGTCCACATGCAGATTGCATAGAGATGTTGGAAGGTTAAGATGCAAACTTTTTGCCAATGTCGCAAAAATGAACCTACAGCTATACGTTTTCAGTTAGGGTCACTTCCCAATAATAATAATTCAGTGATTTTCAGCCTTTTTCACCTCATGGCACACATAAACTAATTATTAAAATTCCACAGCACACCAAACAATATATATTTTTTGCCAATCTAACAAAAAATAGTTATAATTTTGATTTATTCACACCAGACGGCTATTGTTGTGTTGGGTGTTGTCATTTTTTAATTTGACAAGGTAAGGGAAAAGATGTCAGGTATTAAAGGTTTTAAACGTTCTTGCTGTGGCACACCAGTTGAAAATCGCTGATATATTTCAATTAGGTTTATGACGATGTATTTGGTACTTTGTGGATGAACTGGAGACAATGTAGTTGAGGCTGACAAGCACAAGAAAATTTCCCATGATAGCCTAGGAGCCATTAGAAACGGGATTTTCAAAGGCAGTATATTTTGCAGGCTTCTGCAATAGGCAGGAGTTATTCCATCATGGTTAAATTTGTAACATATTATGAACAGGTTGAGCTAACCTGGGAGTCATGTCTCAATGAATTCAATTATCATACCATGAACAAAGTCAGAAGACTGAAAACCCAATTTGAGTGCTACAAAAAAAAAGGTCAAACAAAAGTGATTACTATAGTAAAATATAATAGAGGTGGAGAAATGTTAGATAACCAGTTTTCTGAGTGAAAATGTCATTTCAAACAAATTTATTTCCTCGCTTCATGAAAAAGAACATTGTAACAGCAGTGTAGCCAGCAGACAATCACAATGGGGTAGAACATCACATAAGCAAGAGCTGTTAAAAAATTACAGGGCACACAATGGGATGGTTAAACTTATGAAAGAGTCCAACAATGCAGGAATCGTGTGTGATTCCCATCATCGGGTCATCAGCTGAGCAGGGCATTCATGGTGTTAATTACAGTAAGTGAATGGAGACATTTTTAGTTGAGACTAGATATTTTCATGTACTTGTTTTGGTTAACTGCAACTAATTAAAAAATACCAACATTCCCTATATCGACATTGGTGCTTCAAATTTAGATTGTTTAGGAATGTGTTTAAAGTTGGCGACCAGACCTGAATTGCTGCAGATATATCACATGGGTTGTTTTGAAGGCAATGTGCTACTTCTTTGAAAAATACGTGTGAGAGTGTTTTCTAAGACTTTATTTTTTCAAGTTTACTGTCATGGGTGGTGATTCAAAGAAAAAAGAAGCTAACACTTAAATTTTGCAGAAATTCAATAAGTGTTGAGTGGAAGGATGGATAGATGGGTGGATGGATAAAGGATCTTAAAGCTTTATCCATTAAATATGGTGAGAAAACAATTTCTAGTGGGAGCTAAGGCCTAAAACTAAAACAAAATATCACAAGGGTGTATTCTTGATAGTCTAATACTAGTAATATCTTATTTAAGCAGCTGAAACAATAAACAACCACTCGTTTATATACTTATGTGTATAAGAAACCTTAGGCTCACAAAAATAGACATGTTTTAAAACAGAAATCTAAGGCACACAAATTACTAAAATAAGTCAATGAATTACCCAAATAGGTACACATTCAAAAGCAGAAATCTACTTGTACAAGATGATGGTCTACCAATGAACATTTGTTATTTACAATCCCTTCATATTCCTTTACTTTGATTAGTCAAAGCTTGAAACTAACATTTTGCACCATATATTATTTTAATAGGTTATAATTTGTTTTTCTTTAGAGAGCTTGCTGGAACTGTTTGCTTTTGCACCAAAATTGTGAGTGTTAGCGGTTGTGGGCTTCCTATGGCATTTCCAGGGGAGAAGCACCATTAGCTTTTCCATACTCCCGAGGAATCTGAGACTTTAAATGTTGTAGCACCTCTGCATTTTAACAGAATCAAGTATTTCATTGTAATTTCTTCTTGTTCTAAATGTTTACTTTGGGCAATCCCATTTGTTTTGCTAAGAATCAATAAAGTAACAGAAAAATTAATGAAGGGACTAAAATAAATGGGATGCCTAGGTTCCTGTTACCTAGAACATAGCAGATTATCACAGAAGATGAGTTATCAGTTTCCGAAAACTAATATACTTAGAACTACGTTGGATTAGCTCTTTTGACTAGAACTTTATTTATAATATCATTCTGACTATTTGTTTGGGGTGTGTGATGATAATAAGGATTTGTTTTCAAAATATTTCCACAAAAATTTTATTCTTATTCTGTACCAGAATGACTTTCAGAACAAATAAAGCAATTTGGGATGGGTAGGGTACTTACTACTTAATTTTTATATTTTATCACCTTGAAACTTTAGAAGCATTTGACTCTTCTAAATCCTATTATATCCCGTCTCCTTTTGGAAACACCTTTCATGGATTATATTAAGAAAGCTACAGTGAGCATAAATTTGGGTCAATGTTGCTTAATAAATCAGAAGAGACCACTATTACTTAGTTCTCAAGAAAATGTTAATCAATATTGGTGATATGCTTTCAAATTCCAATTTTAGAGATAATTAACAATTTTTGCACGATCTATTTTATGTAAGTAGTTAATATTTGCATGAGAAAAAACACATTAAAACCACAAACCATATGCATGATTAAAATACATATTGCAGTTAATAAGATGGAACTCTACACAGCAAGAATAAATGATTTCTCTTGTATGCAAATATGCACAAACAATAGACAATAGGATTCTTATACTACGCTATTTCAAGTTACTTTTAAAAATAGAAAGTGCTTTTAAAATATATATGTACAATTTATGAACAGCCTCCAACCATTACTAACAATAATGAATTATTTTATACAGGAGAGAGAACTTCAAGAGAGAAAATATTTCATTGGTTTATTTCAAAGGAATATGCGTATTTTCTAGCAATGATTGGAAGATGTTGGAACAATGGCACCATGAAATAATAATTCAGCTTATTTTTAACTGTGTTGATGTGGTTAAGCACCAGGAGCTGTGTAGAGTTAACACTGTGAATCTTGATTTTACATCATAGCACATTACCTATTAAAATCCTCTAAAACTGACTCTTGTTTCATAGTAAACAGACTTAATTTAAAGCACCAAACTGAGTGATTCTATCAAGATTAACACCTACCCAAAACATTTCTTTATGTATTTAAAACTATAAAACTTTTATTTTCGCTTAAAATGTGCACCTTCTACCAATTGTCAAAATATAGTCACAGTTAAGAAATACCCACCCTTTTTTAAACCTCAGCCTTCAAATGGGTGAGATGAAGATAGAGTAAACGACAACATGACTTTCTTTTAACAGCACCTTGAAAAAATACACTGCACTAGCAAAGGCATTAAAAAGAGAAGAAAAGCCTTCAGGCCCAGTGGCTATAGGGCCCTGCAACAGTTGTGCCAGTGTAACAGGTCATAGTGATAATATTATCGTGGGTTAATGTTACTACTCTATGACAGGGAATTAGGATTAATTCATTAAATTCAGGAAAAAGCTGAGGACCCTCGTTTTTAGCTGCTAAATTTTTCAGCTCAGGGAAGTTTTTTTTTTTTTTATCCTTAGCTTCTTTAGCCTCATATTTAATCTTGTTTAATTCAAAACCATGTTGGGGCTCATTTAGGTTTTTGTGCTGGTAGAAGACAAGGGACAGGCGTGTAGGACGATTCCGGTTTGGGTGTCTGACCGGAGTTGTGGCGTGAAGCTCTCGCCGGGCACACTCAATCAAAACAGAGCCATGAGTGGGTGCTATCGCCACCCCACCAATGTTGGCATCCAAGAAGATGTGCTCACTATCTGACCAATACTCCTCAATTTGGGGAAATTTCTCCTTAGCGGGTGACAGGGGGTCATCTGACAGGGGGTCATCTGACAGAGGCTCATCTGCTTCAGAATGCTGCTCATCTTCTTCCACCACAGAGGAAGCAGGTTCAGGAGGAGAGGTGATGAGTGGGGGCTGCTGGTTTGGCTGGTTGGAAGTTAGCTGCTCAGGTGGACCAGTGGGAGGCTCAGCACAAGCCCGGAAATCTGACATGGGAGTAGACAAGGTGGGAAGAGGACTCGCTTCATGAGGCTGTGCGATTCCAGCGCCTTCCCCAGCAGCAGCACTAGCACCACTGGGTCCTGCAGACGGCATTGTGCAGTGGGGATCACTACCTCTTTCTGAAAACTCGCTCGAAACTGATGCATCATTCGAAGCAGTCTTAGGGGCACATGAGAAACCTGGAGTTAAGTTTGCCTCTTTCACTGGCTGAGGAATGGATGGGGTCAGTGAGTAGGTTTTAATGTTGTCTGAACCTTTGAAGATAAAATTGGGTTCAGTTTCACTTGTTTCAGGTTGCAAGGTCTCAGTTTTATTCCCTAAACAGAGAAAAGGACACCAAATGTGAAGGTAAGTACAAACTACTTTTGGTAATCGCTGTTTTTAAAGAGTATTTTTAAAGAGTACAAAGAATAATATAATAAAACACTGATAATGGCAATGTTGGCCAGTTAGGTTCTATTTACTTTAAGTCAAACACACATTAAAAATTGGATGTAGTTTGGTAGCTTTTTCACCCAACAATTTTTTAAAGAATTTCTTCACTGTCTAAATAATCATAAGTAAGTACACAGATTTTTGCCAGAAGGATATCCACTGTGTAAAACAGGAAGATACTAGAAATGACCTAATTGGCTCTGAAGTAAATATTAAAACCATACATTGGAATATATATAATGCAGGCGATAATATGATGACATATTTAACTACAGAAGGATATGTTTAGATGGATTTTAGATATTGCATGCTCTCATTTTTGGAATAGTAAAAGTGGTATTAGTTTATAAGTATTTCTGGGCAATGAAAAGGGTCATAAACTGGCAAAGTTAATAATTACTGAAGGGAAGTTACATAAAAATGTTAGCTGAAAAATAAGTCATTTGCAACCCTTAAAAACCCATGTGTTTCAAACTTGTTTCTTTCTGACTCAATAGAGTAAATCATTGTTATCACACTGGCCAATGTGGGCGACTGCTCTGAAATACCCGCACAAACATCACATCAAATGGAAATATTCTTGTTGAGGACATTCTCCCTGTTTGAAGTTTTAGAAAATTTTTGGAAGTGCAAAAACAGTAAATTTTACGAGCAATAAATAGAAAAAGTAAAGTGGCTATGTTTTAAAATAATTAACAATGTATAGCAAACGTCTAATTCAGAAGATCTGCAATCCACCCTCACACCCTGGCAATAGGACTTAGAGACACATTGGTTCTTGTTTCTAAAGAGCATTTATACATAGGACCCAGAGAGTGGCACGTCAGAAAGCCCACGCTACTGTCTGTTGCTTCATCTATTATTATACAGGTTAGGTTGTCAACAAATATAAATCCTGGGAAGGGAAGATTAAAGTAGTGATTCATCAAGTTGAATAAAATTGGTAAAAGATTTTATCGGTAAGATTACCTAGAGGTCAAGAGGTTATGGGCCAAAAATTGTACATATGGCTACTGACAAGCTATATATTATTTAAAAACTAGTACATAAAGATGCTATCTACTCGGGAATGCCACAAAGATGAAAATGATATAATTGTTATTTATAAGTAGCATGTAACCAGTTATATGAATCTTAAAACAAGATTTCAATATATGCCTATAAAATGAAGCTACAGGCAAATAGGAATAATTCCCTCTGCCTTCCTTCTTCACTGTTGCTTCACTGAATCTTTTCCATCATTACATAAATGTCTGCATTGTCACTTCTCTCATCTCAAACAATAACAACAACAACAACAAAAACAAATAAACAACATTTCTTACAAATATAAAGACCAAAGAAGGTAAGGAATACGCTCTAATTCTACATTTGAGTGTCAGTATAAATCCATGGTGTATTTTTTTTCTTTAGGTTCCTTGGAGAAATAGCTGATTTTAGATGTGGAGCAGGATTATATAAGATGAGCCAGGAACATCTTGTCAGAAAAGAAGCAATCAAAGATATTTGGGGCCATGAAAAAAAAACAAAACTCAGAAGCCAGCTTGGTAGGTTTCTACTGACTAAAGACAGAACAATTTGAGGATTGTTTTCAGAAAGCATTTTCAAATTTAGTTGGTAAAAACCTATTTAATATGCAATGTAATATAAACTATGTTTTTTTAAAAAACCACAAGATCAAAATGATACTAAATTAAAAAGAAAATGACCACATTAGAAGATGCTTGGGAACTGACTTGCATTCTGCAAACTGATGAATAAAGACAAACAGCTAAGCATCTACTCTGACTTTCCTATACGAACCATTCCTCAGAATGAACGAGTATTGATAAGGGCAATATTTCTTTTTAAAAGAAGATGAACTAACAAATGGAAAAAGAATAATAGACTTTGTTACTCTTAATGAAATAAACAACACAGAATATAAATTTACTAAAATCACTAGGTAAAAAGCTGATAGGGAACAATATAATCAGTGAATTAGGATGACAACACTTTACTTATAAATCAGGCTCAATATCAAAACAATATATACCATCAGACACTATGCATATCCTAATGTGAAGGAACAGAAATGTAAGAATCACAGATGGTGCTCTTGCCATACTAATTTTCAAAGAAAAAAACTGAAGTTGAATTAGTCTCTACAGGACAATCGTTTCTGCTATGATGAATAAAAGGAATGAGAGAGAAAAAGAGGAAAAAGTAAGCTGTAAATAGAAAAAAGGTATAAGAGACATATCAACTAAATATAGCGTGTGACCTTTTTTGGATACTGATTTACACTAACCAAATGTGAAAAGCAAAAAAGCAACTAGGAGACAAATGAAATAATTTGAACACTGATCAATATTAATGCATTCTTTGATTTTCTGGTTTTAGGTATTGTGGTTATAAAAATTCCTTATCTTTCATTGACACAGGTGAATCAATGGTTCATAGGATATGACCCCTGCAATTTCTTATAAAACTTTTTTAAGGGGTGTAGTCTGGGTAATGGTATAGGTGAAATAAGAATGGCTATGTATTGAAAAAATTTTAAGCTGGGGGCATATGAGGGACATGGGATTTGTTATGTAATTCAATCACTTTGTACATTAAAAAAAATTTTCTGTTTAAGGAAGAACCACAACTGTATAACCTTCACTTCATTCACTTCATCTTCCTTATAGCCAACCACAAAAAGCTCTCCCATTTTTTCGGTAAGTCTACTTTTTTCATTGTCACCCCACCCTATTGAAATAAACTCTGCCCTAGCAGTATCTCTAATAATAACCTGCGAATCTAATGGTGAGATAAGCTCAATCTTCATCTCACTTGACCCAGGAGCAGCAGTCTTTGATCTATCTGACCACTCCCTCCTTAAAACCCAGTACTCTCTGATTTCACTCTTACCTTACCAGACACACCAAATCTCTTTGCTGGTTCTTCCTCATCTCTAAAGCCTCTACAAATTGAGTATTCTCAGGATTTGTCCTTGATTAAACTTCTTTCCTATCTCCTTTACCTTCTCTGTAATTTCATTCATTCTCATGGCTTGAAAGGCTATCTCTATAAAAATGACTTCCTAAGTTGTATGCCCAGCTCGAAGCTTCGGTCAGAAACGCACTCTTCTTCAATTGCTTACCTAACATCTTAGCCTCGGTGTCTGACAGCCGTGAGCTCATCTTCCTCTATATCTTGAAAAATCATTTTTTCTCTCCCCATTAATCATGACATGTTAGTAGCTTCTCCAGGCCAATAACATCAGAGTAAACTGTGACACATTTTTTTGGTCCAGACTCCAAACAATCTATCAGAAATCCCATTGACTTTACCTCTGAACCATATCCAGAATCAGACATTTCCAATATCCTTATTAGCCACACTGGTCCAAACTCCATCACCTCATCTCTCTCCTGCGTTGTTAGGATAGCCTCTTTATGATCATGGTACTTTTCTATTCATTCCCTGCTCCACTTTAGTCTAGTTTTACCTAGTAACCAGAATGCTAGGTTTGAGCCCCATCATAACCCTTTTCTCTCCTGAAATCTCCAGTAAACGTCCTCTTACAATAAAGACTGAAGTCTATCAGCCACCTAGAACACCTGAGATGAGCTGCTCAGATCCCCTCTTACTGCTCTGATCTCATCTCCAACTAGTCTCATCTCACACTTGCTCTGGCCATACTGGCCTCCCTGCTTGCATCAAGAATTCAAGGGAAACTCCTGCCTCCTGACTTTTACATTTGCCATTTTCTGTTTAGAATGCTATTTCTCCAAATAAAAGCACTGCAGATTCTCATTTCCTGTAGGACTTCGCACAAATGCATCACTCTTAGTGAATCCTTTGGACAATCCTGTCCAAAATGAAATAATTTCACAGCACCATCTCCCTTCTTTTTCACAGCTACATTTCCAATATCTAGGCTACTTCAAAGTGGTGCTCAGTAATATTTGTTGCGTAGGTTGCTTAAATTGATGCTAAAGGTGATCAACGCAGACTTCAAGGAAGTGGTGTTACTTTATGTATGCCAAGGAGTAGGTCTTCAAAATGGATGTAGACCAAAAAAAAAAAAGGTATTTTTAAGCATTAATGGAAGAAAATATTAAGAAATACACAAGTCACTTTTTTGTTGACTTTTGGTTTTGTTAAGTATAAAGAAATATGTTTAGTGTCTTATATGTAGTTGAACAGTCTATATTAAGAACAAATGGCATATAAGAATAATTAGCTACCTTAATTGATTAATTAATATCTGACATAAAGATTTTCTTTCATAATGCCTAATTCCTAAGAGTAACAATGATAAAGGAGAGGAAGAATGCAGTGCAAAGGAAACTCCCAACATCTGCCAATGAAAGCTGTGCATAGAAAATTAGCACCCTCTATAGACCTTACCTAAAAGCAACGGTGATGAAGCCTTACTGTTGTTCGTTGTCAAATTATTCTTCCGCTTGTTTCGAGGAATGACTTTCTTCTCCACAACCCTTAGCTTATGTGCAAGGGCCTGTGTTATCACTGCTGCTCTTTTCTTCCCACATCGAGGAACCGGCTGACTGAAACAGGTTTTTTTCTTAGGGCAGGGTTTGAGGACCTCAATAGCCCCAGATTTGATCTTTGCTTCCATGCCTTCCCTTGAGCCAAACTCATCTGTGTCTGCAAGCTTATAAAGGGGTAGCACATGCAGCTGCTCATCCTCAGGAATAACACCAAATGAGCGGTTATCTTCTCGTGTTAAAGTACAGACCTGATAGGAAGAAAACAAGAAATGGAAGATATAGGTCCTGCACATTCACCTTTTTATTGTTGCTATACAACAAGGGATCTATTCTCTGATTTTTAATTGGTTACTACTGGAATATTAATTTTGATTAAGTGTCTTTTATATAAAGCCACCCAACATTGTTCAATTGTACTAATTTATTGTTTGTAACCAGACCATTATAATTTTGAGTTGATTTTGTAAGTAAATGACATTTTATATTTTATGTCTTTTATAATATTTTAAGTATTAAGCCTTCTTTATGTTCCATTTCATCTTAACTGCCTAAGTTAAGGAACAGTTACTGAACTCTTCACCAACTTCATATTAAATATTAACTATTAAGAAGATATTGCTTTAAAAAAAGATATTACTTGAGCCTATTTATACCCTATTTCTTAACATTTGGATAATGTCGCATTTCTTGAAGTAGAGGGAGCTAAATTATAATGAATTTCCTAATCTGCTATGTTTTCCTGTAGAATATTTTCACACCTATCTACAAGTGAAATCGATAGATTTTTCCCCTGCTTTTTTTTTTAAGAGTGATTTTTTAAAAGATTTTATTTATTTATCTTTAGAGAGATGGGAAGGTAGGGAGAAAAAAAAGGAGAAAAACATTGATGTGTGACAGATATATCAACTGGTTACCTCTTGCACACCCCCAATCAGAGACCTGGCCTCCAACCCAGTCATGTGCCCTGACTGGGAACTGAACCGGTGACCTTTCCAGTCACAGGGCAGAGCTCAATCCACTGAGCAACACCAAGCATGGCGCAGGGTGATTTTTAAAAAAATATTTTATTTATTTATCTATTTTTAAAGAGATGGGAAGGGAGAGAGAAAGAGTGAGAAACATCAATCAGTTGCCTCTTGCAGGCCCCCAACTGGGGACCTGACTGGAAGCCCAGTCATGTGCTCTAGACTGGGAATCCAATGGAGGACTTTTTCTTTGTAGAATAATGTTCAATCCACCGAGTGATACTGGTCAGGGCCAGGATGAATTTATTTCTTCAATAAATAAATTGACAGATATTAATGAAACAAGAAAAGAAGCACAAAAGATTACCTTTTCTAGTAGGATTTATATTATACCTGTTTTAAAGAAACAACTAAAATATTTTATCTGGATCAATTTTCTCTTTCTGTTCCATTTTGCTTCTATTATAGTTAGGAGCATATCAATAACTTTGCCAGACTTTATTTTGGATGTGAGATTGGACAAATTAAGAAAACTCTCTTTTACATAACCTATTTCTCAACTCTTTTCCTTATTTTATTCATTGTAGAGAAATGAAAATACAGAACTATAATATAAAAAATTCCTGATCTTTAGTCCTAATAATATTGTTTATATACTATTTTTATAATTTTCAAATGTCATTAAAGATTCATTAAAGGCACAACCAATGGTTTCATTATTTTTTATTGAAAACATTTTCCTAGTGTTGAGAGCTCTTTCTAAGATGGCAGAGATGTTATAAAAATGGAAATAAATAACATGGTCAGATTTGATTTACAACATTGCTAAGATTGGATGGATACAAGTGATAAAGTCAAGTAGGTTTGAAGTTTTAAAAAATCTTACTATTTTCTCAATGTTTATGGTTACATTTACCAGCAAGGCCTGAAAATACTGAAATCCAGAGGTCAATATTTAATTTTATTTTTTCTTTTTTAAAATAATGTATTTTATTGCTTATGCCATTACAGTTGTCTCCTTTCCCCCCTTCATTCCCCTATAAGGTCCACATTTTAAAATTTAATAACTTTAAATTTTTTATGTTAAAAATTCTAATCTTTCACTAGTAAAAGTATACTTCAATCTATTTCTTCGAACAGAGGGAGATGAAGGAGGGGCAAGGATAAGACATGAACAACCTAATAAGAAAGGTCAGAGAAACAGGGTAGAAGAACAATTGACAGTAGCATTTTAAGAATTCAGGTTCTTAAAGATGGGGAAATTTGGAATTATGCCATGTTCTAGGTACCAAGCTCACAGCATGAATAATGAAAGCGGTGGAGAAGAGCGAGCACTGCATGACATGGAAGAAGCACAAGCAAAGAGGAACCAAAATTTAGTTTGACTGTGACCTAGTACAGCCTGACTACAGATATTCCAGAATGAGGCAATTCAGGTAAAATGTACTAGCCAGGGGATGATCATAAATCACTCTTTTGCTAAGAGTCACCTGGGCAGATTCATAAAATTTCCATATTTGAAAATAACACCACTCTCAAATACTATAGTCATAATCAGTGCAGAGGAGTCATATGCAAAAAAGTTATTTGGGCTCCTTTGTCTATCTCCGACAGACTCCACTGAGCAGTGATGAATCTGACTGTGCATTTCAAATAACAGTAAGAGCCTGTAGATATTTCTGATACTGGGCAAACTGAAAAAATTGGCATTTCACAAAAACAGAGACAATTACTCTCCATTAATCTGTATCACAAGGTTAGAAGAATATAATTACTTGAAGCGAACTCATTTCCCGTACCAAAAAACTATTGCAAGAGTTTACCCTGGGTGTTTCACCTAATTTAAGTATCTCTTGATTGACTTCACACTTATAGGCATATGATTCTTTTCATGGCTATAAACACTGTATGCACACATAAATGCAAATATTCTAATAATTTTTGAATATTCATGTAACTTTATATACACTGGAATTAAGAACCAATTAAAAGCATTAAATAAATGATAAATTTGGCACAGTTTCCTCCTAAAAACACTAAAGTACATATGAAAAAAAGAAATATTAAGTTATTTAACTTCTTCACTACCAATTTAATAGCATAGAATAGTTGCTAAGTTACTTAACTTCTTCACTACCAGTTTGATAGCACAGAACAGTTGCTTTGAATAAACATGTCATTTCTACCTCCCAACGTACATCTCTTTAGTTATATATTAATTAAATATATAACTCAAAAGTTTCAACAAAATATATGTTGAAGGCACGTTCTCTTTTTTGTTTTCTTTTTTATCCTCACCAGAGGCGGGGGGGGGGAGAATTCTTCAGATTTTATTTAGTTCTAGAAAATGGGAAGGGAGGGAGAAAGAGAAACATCTTCGTATGATGGAACAATGATTGATTGCTTCTTGCATGCCCCCAACTGGGGACCTGGCCCACTACCCAGACATGTGCCCAGACCAGGAATAGACCCAGCAACCCTTCTGTTTGTGGGATGATGACCCACCCAATGAGCTACACCAGTTAGGGTGATTCTATAACATTTTAAAGTACTTCAGTAATAATGAACAGAACATACAATATGATTTGTTACCAGTCATATTTAAGGACCTCAGCCTAAGCAAATAGCAATGGATCTTTAGAATCCAAAGCCACCCAGGTACATACCACAGTGCTTCCATTATTCATGTTGTGAATGTCCCTGTGGGGATGAGCACAGAAGTCTAGGCAAGCAGTGACCCCAGAGAAAGGACGACCTTCTTTGTTGCCAAGCCGACAATCTCGGGCGACATGTTCATATTTCACCTAAAAAAATGCACAACACACAGTTTAAGAGATAGAATCAATTTCAGTGAAGAGTAAACATAGCGTCCTGACAAAGTTCTTAAATTATTTATGGTTTGTAATTTCAGAGATTTCTGAAACAAGTGTGCTATGGTACTGACTGTGTAGTTTTAATGACATTCAGGAGAGAGTCTGAGAACACAGGAGAGAAATGGTCATTACTGTGACTGAAGGCAGGGTGAGGACACTAACAACCACTGGTGATAGACACCACCCACTGGCGCAGCCTACATCATTCCATTAAGGACAGAGACTAATACAGTGCATGAATCGTGTATATAGAGTTTTAATGTGTATAGAAAGTAAATATATATGTATGTATGTGTGTATACATACATACATATATATACATATTTATGAGCCAGTACAGAAAGTGAATTTATAAAAATTTTAAATTAAAAACTGGAGTTTAATAGCATGTTATTCATAATACAAACACACTAAAGATTTAAAAAAATAGGAAATTATACTTATGTTTAAAACTTAAATATATTTTTATAAAAATGAATTCATAAGTGGAAAAACAAATTGATATTTCTCTTTTTCTCTCTCTAAAAAAAAAAATCCATGAATTACCCAAAAAGGCTACACTTATTTTCTATTTTGATACATGATTTATAAAAATTTTCTCCCATCCTGTAGTTGTCTTTAAGTCTGCCCCTCCCATTTTATCGAGATATTACTGACATATATCATATAAGTTTAAGGTGTGCAGTAAATGTATGTATTGCCAAATAATTACCACAATAAGGTTAGTTAACTTTTCAACGCCTTTGTGTAGTCGTAATATTTAAAATCTCTTAAAAACTTTAAAGTATATAATACAGTACTGTTAATTCACATGCATTATATCCCAGATTTTATGTATTTTATAGCTGGGAATATCTATTCTTTGATTAACATCTCACTATCTCCGCCCAACCCAATTATTACTTGATGATGTTTTTGAAGCACAAATTTTTTAAATTTTAGTGATTTTTTTTCTTAATTTTTTTCTGTATGGTCCATTGCTAGTGTATAGAAGTGCAATGATCTTTGCATATTGAGCTTGCATCCAAAAACCTTGGTGAACTCACTAATTACTTTTAACTGTGTGTGTGTGCACACATGCCACAGTATTTTCTACAGACAGGATCATACTACTGGCAACTATTGTTAGTTTTTGAGTGCCTTTATTATCAAAGAGAGCTGGACTACTCACATCCTTTTCTGCATCTATAGAGGTATTATATGGGTTTTGCCCTTTGTTCTACCAATATGGTATGTTACCATATATTGATTAATTTTCATGCGTTGAACCAATCACACATTCTTGTTTTTGTGTTTTAGAAATAATCATAATTCTGTCATGAGTGTTAATTAATTTACCATAATAGTACTTTAAAAATATTAGATAATTTTAAAGCTGTTCAATTAAAATAAACACACATCAACGTTCAAATTGTAAAGGTTTTCTGTAACAATAATTTTGTTTAAATAGCAATTCCAACCACATGTAAGAGTACCATAAGGTCCCAAAACATACCTGGTTCTGGTAAGCAACTGGAGCATACTGCTTATAAATTGGAGCTAATTCTGTGGCCAAACTTTGTAAATTCTCTTCAAGGTTTTTTTCCTGTAGGAAAAGAGAGTCCATAAAAGTTATTTCTTAACAACTTTTTTAGAGTGGATTTAAGGGTAAGGAAATGATACGTAATCAATGCACAGTTCATACTTACCCTAATGAAAGAGCTACCATAGAAAATAGCATGAATTATAGTTAAAGAAAATATATACTATTAGTGATTGTTAGGCTTTAGTTTTTTGAAACTAAAATTCTATGTTATAAGCTAATTAGACATCTAGGTGGTGTTAGTATTAAGTTGCAAAACTGTTCATGCTGCTAAAAATGAGAACATATTTTGTATGCATTTACTCAATGATACTAGTCACTTTAGGTAAATGAAGACAAAGTTGCTGCTGGCAAAGGGAGATGCCCAAGCAAAGAATTCTGACACAGTGCAACCACTTTCTGTAACAGAGATAGGAGAGCAACGTACCTAGGGCTCACACCATATATCAGATTCTGCACTAAGAGCGTCAAATGTAGTAAGTGGGCAACTGGTTGTCTAAAACCAGTGTTTTCTTTTCTACACCATAAAGGCTACAGGTTGAGGAAGATTTTGTGGGATGGTGAGGAACGTTAACATCATTATGAAAATCTGGATTGCTAGCCCTAGTTGGGTAGCTCTGTTGGTTAGAGCATTACCCCAATAAGCCAAGGTTGCATGTTTGATCCCTGGCCAGGGCACATACCAGAATTAACCAATGAATGCAAAACTAAGTGGAACAACAAATCAGATGTTTCTCTCTCTCTCTAAAATTGGTAAACAATTAAAAACAAGAATCTGAGATACTACTAATAACATTGTAGAAAAATAGAATTTTTCAAAGGAAAAGGGTCAGGACAAGAGACTATTAAAAATGTCTCTGCTGACAATATGAGGTCTGAGGCAGAGAACAAAGATTTCAGAAACAATAGTTGAAAGACCACTGTGATAGTTTTTCAGGCATAATTATAATCTGAAATCAAGTCAAGGACTTGGTAAACATTATCAGTCACATCAAAGGAAGACGGTTGAGGGGGAACAAAACAAGAATGAAGGAGGAATTTAAGAAGGTTTGCACCTTTGGTGTCACGTGAAATTTGGTGGATACCAACCAAGAACATAGAAAGACAACTTTCGCACAGAGCAGTCCCAATCTGATACTCATCAGATTATCATAAAAGCCAAAGCCATACAGCAATGCAAACATAAAAAGTTAGTTCTTGAGTGCTTCTAATGAGCCTCAGTGTTGATCATTGTAAACCATCAGTGATCATCCTTTTGGTTTCCTACTGATTTATGCTGATGCTTTCATTGAAAAAGAAATTTATATACATAGGGTCTATATCTAAATTACTCTGTTTCACTCATCTGTATACTTCATTATGTGTTACTTAATGTAGCTTAATAAATACAATCAGAGAGAGTTAGGATCCGACTCTAAAAATACTTCCTATCAATACACACATTAATTATTTTATTTATTTGAGGAAAACTGTAGAATTCTGATTTAAATGCCTATTAAAATATTTTTATTGTTTTCTAACACTTGAAATATTGGGTGGGGGGTGGTTTAATGGTGTTTTACTGCCAATAGAATATTATTAACTATCTAGTGTCACAAATCAGACTGTCATAAAATGTCTACATTTTTTAGTGGAAATGTTGGGGAAAAAAGAAGGCAAATAAAAACAAATCAAATAAAGATTGTATAGCTGACTATTGGTATAATTTTATGAATGTAAAGCTCATTCATATTGTAAAAACCCTGACTTTCTAATTGCTTCATTAGAATAAATGTGTTCAGATATAAAGGCTTCTTCTTATCAGAACTTTACCTCTGGGGCCTTAAGCCAACATCCCTCTACTCTTCTTACCTATAGCTGATCTGCAGGACCATCAAATCCACATCCTTGTCTACATGTACCACAGATTACTCCTTGAGCATCAGGATTTTTATTGACCTGATAATCCCCACTTAGAATTCCCCTAGGGAATCTCCAATGCATTGTGTAAAAACTAAATTCATAATACGTCATCTACCAACCTGGTAGTATTTCTGCGTACCCTTTTATCAAGAAATACCACCACTATCTAATTTTTTAAAATCTTCCCAGACCAACCACTGCTTATCAATTCCTCTGTCACAACCATAATCCAAGTTACTACTAACCCTTCCCTGGTCTATTTTCATAGCTAGCTCATTTAGCTAAACCTACTCTGGGCCAACTGCAATCCATTATTCAAAGAGCAGCCATAGGAAGGTCTTTAAAAGACAAGTGTAATTGTATTACCCTCCTTAAAACCCTTCAATGATCCTCCAAAATCCTGACATGGCTTACAAGAGTGAGACTGCATACATCTTACTCTCTCTTGCCTCATACTAGCCTCCTCTCACTTCCAGGAATGATCACTGATTCATCCTGTATCATAAGCCCTAGATAAATGTTACTCATTATGAATAATATCCATAAGCAAAAATTGATGTGGCATTTATTAATTATAAGAGTATCATTATAAATAAAAATTTAAGTCATGTCAATATTACTAATATATTTCTTTATACACTAACAGTTTCATCATATAATGTCTCGAAAGAAAAAACAATAGGTTAATTTTAAGGGAGAACTGACATTACATTATCAAGTGTTTTATATGTTTCTTATTAATTTTTTATACTTTTTCCCCCTAAAGGTTTAACGCACTTCTTGTTAGACTTCTGTGGTATTGTATAATCCTTTATATACAAAGGATGCTTCTCTCTCAGGTCTTTCCCTTGTTTTATTGCAATAGATAAAAATTCTAGAAAATACTAAATCATTTTAAGTACCTCTTTAAAGGGATCATTATTTATTTCATTATAAGCTTTTTTGAAAGATGTTATATTCATTATATTACAGATATAGTTGAATTAATTCCTGTTGTTTGTTTTCTCTTTTCTTTATTCTGTATCCCTAAGATTTCATAAATGGATTGCTTGCTTCTTAAATGTTTCCTTACAACTACTTCAGAGCTATAAATTCTACTTCTATTCATCTAAAAAAAACTTAAACATGCACTTTATTAAGTACGCTTTTCTGACTAGAGCAGTGTTTTCCAAGCTGTGGGTCATGACTAATTAGTGGGCCAAAAAGAAGGCAGTTTAGTAGGTCACAACTACTATTTTAAAAAGAAATGAAATTTTAGTAAAAATAGTAAACTACATCATAGAGATCCTTAGTAATAACTATATTGGATATTAACTTTTAATTTTTTAAATACTTTCTTTTGTTACATGTATTAGGACTAAGTCATCTTTTCTGATAATTTTGCTTAAATTATGTACTTGTATATATCTGACTATATAGTGACATGTACGATAAAATATGTTTACTCTTGGTCACAGCTCAAAGTTTGAAAAACACTGATCTTAGAGTTAATTGGTATCTAAATACTTCCCATTCCAAACAAAGCATAAAACATCACCACGCTTAGCTCTTGTACGTGCCCCACCCCCTCCCACTACCTATCCACCCCTAAGTTGTTAAGAGAATGGAATTATATTCATAGGTTGTTATTTTTTTATTTCAAAATGTACGTGCTCAACTTATTCAAACTTAACAGTAAGGTTGACTGATTTCTTTGCTCACCATGGCCTCGTGTCCCGGACACATTGCTTCCGGTTTCACGTATCTTCTTTCTGGAAAACGTCCTTTAGTAATTCTTTCATAGTAGCTCTGTGGGTAGTAAACTTACTGAGTCTTTGAGATGTTTGCAAATGCCTTTATTTACTCTTCCTACTTAGGCTGGGTATAAAATTCTAGACTCTTCTAACAATCATTCTCTCCGAGAAGAGGGGAGAAGGAGGAAGGAGCCAGGGACCACTGGAATTTGGGTTAACGAAGACTTAACCTAGTTTATTTAGAATTCTAATTTATTTACATAAGTATATATGTTTATTGTTTTGCCATTACTTTTAATACTTAATTTTTTACTATTTCGAAACATTTTCAAGAAATGCACTTACACATTCATTTGTATAAATTCAAAAGTTAAAAAGGCACTTACATGTAAGGGAGAGCTTGGATCAATTCTAAATCTTCTAGGGCTTGGGCTTCTACCAAATTTGCAGCCATTGAAATACATACTCCATGAACAGCCAAAGGAGAACGAAGCTCCACAAGTCTCTGGATCAATTCCTTGACATGTGCAGGTGCGACTGTAGGATGGTAATTGCAAGAGAATGAACTGATAAAGCAGGACAGTACTCCAGCCAGAACATTTCAGGACAGTATATAACTTTTGAAGTAGATGGCTAATAAACTGACTTTAAGACATCTGTTTTATTGCTTATTATAGCTAAAGTACTGTTAATAACACAAAGCTAAGTGGATGTGAAAAGAACTAATTTTTAAACTACAATGTTCGTTCAAGATTGTAAATTCAAATAAATGGTAGTAAAAGATACAGATCGGAAATGCTCATAACCTTGTTTAATTTGATGATGGTCTCAGGAGGGAATATAAATGGCTTAGATTTTACATCCTAGATCTGTTCCCTATCAGCAATGAAAACTACAGCATCTCATGTCCTCTTTGGACTGACCTTCTACTCATGAAGGACACACAAGTAAACTTGAACAAATGAAAAGAAAAACCATGTTATGGAATAGGAAGGTTCAATATCATAAAGATGTTCATTTATACTTTAATGCAATCCCATGAGAAATATCATTAGATTTATCTTAAAACTATATAAATATAGTACGAAGCCTATTTGGAACCACAAAGGAATAAAAGAATAATGAAGAAAGCCTTGAAAAAGAGTAAGAATGGCAAGCTGGCACTACCAAATATTAAAATATAAAGCCTCTATGATGTAAGAAATGTGGTACTCAGTACCTGAAAGGGCAGGACAACAATACAGCATTCTAATGTGTTTAACCAGCATTTCAAATTAAGGAGAAAAGTAGTACTCTTTAGAAAGTAGTGCTGGGATAAATGGAAAAAATATGATAGAAATGAGTCTCTTCTTCCTACCATTGAGTGGCATAAATTTTTAAAGACATGAGAGATTTGTGTTTTAAAGTATTCATGATTTCAATGTTTGAAAAGAAAACATTGGGTGAATTACTCTATAAGTTGAGAAATAAAAAATGTCCATAAATACCATTCAAAATTGAGACATAACATGGTGAAAGATAGATTAAAAATTTTTTGCAAAAGATGGCATTACAAAAGTAAAAAAGACAAGTGGTAAGCTGTTAAAAGCATTCACTAATTATACCACAAAGGGTTTATAGTCCCAGTATGTAAGAGTAGATTTCTATTAAGTGGACAATCCTTTCAAAATATGGGCTGGAATAATTATCAAGATGGTGGACAAAAAAACAAATAAAAATGGTAAATAGCTCTTAACAATATGAAGAAATTCTCCCATTCATAATATGAAAAGCGCAAAATCAAATATAAACTGATTAAATGGGCAAAAACTCAAGGGTGACAACATACTCATGGGCAAAACCATAGGGAAACAGTTATCCTCGGACATGGCTAGAGGAAAGGAAAATGGGACAATTCCCTGTGGACGATTTCCCTTTACGGGGAAAAAAAGAGGTCTCCTCCAGATTCTTGTGGTGAGTGGGATAAGATATTAAAGAAAGAAGGAATAAAATATTCTAATGAAGAATATCCTAAAATTGTCTTAACTCGCTAAGAAATCATGTCTCTCTTTAAAGAAATGGTCGTTCCTTTTAGTTGCACAATATTTAAAATCTTGTTCTCCCATATGCATAGTTGGTAATTAATTAACAATTTAACATTATAAATAGAGGTCTGAGTGTCAAAACAGTACAAAACACATATGATTACTTTTCATTGAGAGTGCATCTCCGGTCTGTGGGATGGCCATTGTATGACTTTAGGTTTTCGGTAAGCTCCGTATACAATCTGTCTGCCATGGGAAGAGGAATGCCTTCCCACACCATGATGAGTACCACAATCACAGCTGTGGAACAATGATGGCCTGGCCGCTGCTGAACCAAACAGAGAACTTTCTCTTCCTCGCTGCTTCTTCTTAAAACCTGCAGAAGCAGAATACATTCATTTATGGAAAAAGAAAACCTAAAGTCAAATGCAATGTATATTGCTTTCATAGCTCTGCAATACTGCATTTTATCTTTTAAAATCACTATTTCCCGAAGTGTCGAAGCCTAGAGGACCTTCAGTTGCCTTCCTGCACATAGCTCATCACAGAGTATCCCCGGTTACTTCACTAAGAACAGGCAGACCAGAAACCTGTGATATGTGGTTATTATTTGTAAAAGCAGGCCAAAGCAGTCTGGGTTTATTTCATTGTTGGTACAGTTTTGCAAAACAGGTATCAGAGGATCCTGGGGAAAAGAGTCAGTTGCTTTTATACAAATGTCACAACAGGACAAATCGAGCTAGATGAAAATAAACAAGGATTCCCAACATGGAAAATAAATGTGAGCAATCACATTTAGCATCTGAGGAAAGTTATGGATCTTTTCCTTGAGTGAATGGCTTACTAAATAGAATAATGAACATGTAAATCAATGTTCCTGTGATTCCTTTCCATGCCATTGCCAGGATTTATCATACCCATTTTATCATGAGATTAAAGAGTCCAGCTGACACGGTGAAAGTAAAGCACAACAATCAATTTTGAATATTTATCCATGTAACATGCACTACGTCATACCCACAGAGTGCTAAAAAGTTGTCAAAAGTATTTAAAATATTGCTCAGTGGTCCTAGTGCTATAAAAACAATTACATAAAAATGTTGACACAACATGAAATCATCCACCTGTATTTAAACCTCCCTCCCTGTAAAACAAGTTTATAAGGAAGACATTGGCCACATTAATTAGTAAGTAATTAGTAACGATAAAACTGCCAGTTCCTGGGAACAAAATTGAGCAACCAATAGCATAAAATTCCACTTTTGTGGCTAAAATAATATTATATGAACTGGAGATGAAACTTCTGAACTGAAGATGTTAGTTACCCAGCAGAACTTCCTTCTGTCACTGCAGACAGTAACAACCACCGCTACCAAGGAAGCCCCTGAGTAGAGTTTGTTTTAGGACCTTCCCCTTGAACACAATTATTAAATTAACATTTTAAACCTATATTTATATATCCTTCAGAGGCAAATAAGAATACATTTGCTTTTTTTAAAAAAGCTTCAATGGACAATGATGTATATTGTATCAAACAAAATTATAACAAAAAGAAAAAAAACAAAAAAACAAGGACTTCACTTCATAAGGGTGCCAGAAGGAAAAGATTGAGAAGTTGGAAATCTATTTGAAAAAATAATGAAAGAAGCCTTCCCTAATCTGGTGCAGGGTTTAGACATGCAAGTCCAGAAAGCACAGCGAGTCCTGAATAAGATGGATGTAAGGAGGCCCACACCAAGACACATCATCATTAAAATGCCAGGTGTTAAAGATAAAGAATCTTAAAACAGCAAGAGAAAAATCAGTTAACTACAGGGGAATCCTAATAAGACTGTCAGCTGATTTTTCAAAAGAAACTTTGCAAGCTAGAAGGGATTGGCAAGAAATATTCAAAGTTATGAAGAGCAGGGACTTATATCCAAGATTGCTCTACCCATCAAAGCTATAATTTACCATGGAAGAGCAGATAAATGCCTTTCCATCCAGACAAGAAAAAACAAAGGGAGTTTATCATCACCAAACAATATATGAAATTTTAAAAGGGACTTATTTAAGAAAGAGAAGATCAATACTAGGAATGATAAAATGCCAAAAATACAAATCTCTTAACAACTGAATCTAAAAAACAAACTAAACAAACAAAAGGAACAAAGACAGAATCATGGCTAGGGAGAGCATTTTGATGGTTCTCAGATGAGAGACAGGCATTGGGTGAATGGGTGAAGAGGTGAGGGTATTAAGAAGAGTAAATAGGTCCTTACAGAATAGCCATGGGGATATAAAGTACAATACAGGAAATGGAGTAGCAAAAGAACTTATAGGCATTACCCATGAACATCAGCAATGGTCAGGGGATTGCCTGAGGGAGCTGGGGGTGCTGGGTGGAGGTGGGGAGGTCAAAGTGGGAAAAATCAGGACAAGTGTAATAGCATTATCAATAAAATATTAAAAAAAGAAATTCCCTTAAAAAGGAATGAAGCAGGTAAGCAAACTTAAAAGTAGTTCTAATGGTACATTAGCAGACAACAGGTTTAAGTGAAGAAAAATGTTTTATTATAACAAAAACAGTCAGTGAAAAAGGTAAGTCAATTAAACATCTACAGACTGCATCAACTTCTTGGCTTCTGTCTAATTTTCATCACTAAAACATAGATCGGTTTTCTCACATCAGCAAGATACCACAGCCACCAAAGCAAACAAGTAAGCCACTCCCTTTATTACACTGACATGGTAATATACAAAGAGGTGCCAAATCTGGGCACAGAAAAAGGCAGCCCCATGGTACAGGCCAAAAGCCAAAAACAACCAAGTCAGCTATTAGGCAGAACCTTGGAGCAATGGAAAGGAACTGTCTTTGAAGATGACATTGTATGAATCCACATACAATGGTTTGAAACTATTTGGATACCTTGACTTCCTTTACACTTCACCCCAAAACTCTGGTCCAACATCTGACCAGACCAGGCTAAACATATTCAGTTGTATGTGATCCTACAGAGGGGACCCATCAACTGGTGCCTGATGTGAACTGCTCTGGCATAGTGGCTGTCAGGGCAGCCTGTCTGAATTCTCCTTCCTGCTCCTGCCATGGCTCCAAAGGCTCCACTGGGAAGAGGAGAGTGAATAGGGCATAATGTATGCAGGGAATTATATCACTCCTTCCACCAAAGTCTGCGTAACAAGATAACTAGACCCTGACAAATATAAGATTACAAGAAAAAGAGTAAAGCACTGTTAAGAGTAAAGGCAAAACGATGTGGGGGAATGGCTCAGAAAGTTGTGCTGCCCAATCAGAATTTGCTGTTTGCCATTTTGTGTCCAGCTATTTAAAAAGAGAAGCCAGCCCTGGCAGAGTAGCTCAGTTGGTTAAAGTGTTGTCCAGACATACCAAGGTTACAGGTTCAATCCCTAGTCAGAGCATGTTCAAGAATCAACCAATGAATGAGTAAATAAGTGGAACAAAACAAATCTGCCTCTCTCCCCCCACTCCCACTTTCTTCTCTCTCTCTCTCTCTCAAATCAATAAATAAAAATAAAGAGAAACAATAAACCTCTCCTTCAAGAAAAAAGGGCAAATGAAGCACAAAAAATTAGAAAAGAATTCAACCACTATCTTTTTTTCAACCATTATTAACAAAGAAAGTCTGCACAGAGAGACGAAAAATGAACATAAAGTCACACAATGTTTGAGTTTGGTATTAATTATATAGCAAATGTACACTATGGAAAAAGAAAAGTAAATTTGGGGCAATGCAATCCACTAGTTGAATGTTTATGAGATTCCTTAGTTTAAAATAATTGATCTTCATTTCCTCTTACCCCTTTTCTAATTTCATTCCTCCATAAAGCATCCATATGTAAGGCTTAATTGCCCAGGTATTGTTGAAAATAATCTGCTTCTAAGGTCCTAAAAACTATGCACACTATTGAGATAACTAATCCTTCCATTCTTTTCCATTTAACTCCTATCAAAAGTTCAAGTTTAGGGTGAACAACTTCAGTGGACTATTACTTGTAATGATTAAAAGTTTTTCATGCCTCAGAAAAAAGCTAGTAACGGATACCACAACAACACTATTTCTAGATACCAATTCAAATTTAAAATATACTAAAATATTCCTATTTAAGTTCCATATCCACTCACTCAACAAAAATTTATTAAGTATTAGCTATGCACTGGGCATTACTCTAGACACTAACAATGAACAATACAAGTATTTTAAGTAAGACCATTTGCAAAAAATAAATTTGATTAACATCATGATTTTTCAAGCATATATAATCACTCTAGGCCCATTTCATTCCTTTTCACAGACATATGGAATGAATTTTTGTTTTTGTTATCAGAATTATACTTTTGAATTGTCATTAGTAGATACCAAAATGTTCAATAAGTTGCTTAGCAACTGTGCTTTATTTAGTTCCTTATCACTGGATTTTTTTGTATTTGTGAAAGCTGCCAGATATATATCACTATATATCAAAATATTCTATTTAATATGAATATTGCAAAAGGGAAAATAAGAAAGTAATTTTGTTGCAGTTGCTGCATGGAAAATGCTAAATACTCTTCTTTGTACCCAAGAACCCTGGAAGAGGAGTTGAACCAAAAGACGAATTAAACAGAAAGTTGTTACCAAAATCTTTAAGCTTCAGACTTCATACATATTTTCATAAAATATAGTAGTATAATCCAAAATTCTAACAGTGAAATGATTGTTATTACATTAGAGGAGGTTTGAAAGAATAGAACGTTCATCCAAAGTCCCAACACTTAATCCACCTACCTTGTTCTTTTACATTTATATTTCATGAACTTTTCTGTTAATATATTCTATGAAAAAACGATGTTAATGTTTAATAGCATTATTTTGTAAAATAAGATTCACAAGATGTAATAGGTATGAGGTATATTGAATAGGACTAAGATAGATATATTTTACTAAATCAATGCAGTGTCTTACACATGGTGATATTTAGAGCAGAAGACATATATCGCGAGTCTCCAAGATGTCCACCATCTGCTTTTTATAGCCTTGCACAGTCCCCTTCTACATGGAATAGGACTTATTTGTGTAACAACTTCACACATGTCACAAAAGAAATTGTGGCTTCGTCCATGTTACCTTTTGATTGACTCTCTCTGGGAGGAAACCAAGCTGCCATGACATGAGAAAGCCCTGTAAGAAGCCTTTTAAGAAAGTGAGGCCTCTAGCACACAGCCATCCAAGAACTACAGGCTCCTGCCTGTAGAAGAACTTTTTAGAATATTCTTTTTAAAACACAAATCAATAGATACCATACCACTAATTAAAATATATTACAGGTTTCATGTTGTTTGTAAACTAAAACCCAAGCTCCTCATGACGACTCGTGAAACCAGCCATACATACTCTGGTTTCTAGCTGCTTTTTACTCCCCCCCCCGTTCCAATCTCAACCTCCTCAACTTCAAGGCTCCCCTTAGATTATTAAAAATGTACTCTCTCCCATGACCTCTGCACTGTTTTCTTTGTTCAGGAATACTCCTTACAATTTTGGAGGCATTCTTCTTGCATACTCAGCTCCTTTTTCATCACTCAGATCTCAGCTTAAATGTTCCCTTTTCAAAAAAAAAAACCCGGAAAAAAAAAAAACCCAAAAAACAAACAAACAAAAACAACAACAAACAAACTTCCCTTTCCAGATCACCCTTCCCTGATGATCCCATTCCTATTAAAGACAGAAGCAAGATAAGGACACCACATATAAACCAATAGAAAGTTGGAGTTAGTTTGGTAGACTATAAGTGTATTAAATGAGATAAATTAAAGGTATAAAATTTGGAAAGGAAAATAGATTACATAATTGTATATCTCAGATACACAAAAGAAATAAATTGGAAAACAAGAAATATGTAAACAGGATGGAAACAAAATTTTTAAAGACTCTGAAGGACAAAAATCATTAACAAATTAAAAGGCGTAACAAGTATGATGGGGAGACTAAATATCAACAAAATACAAATTGCCCTGGCTGGTGTAGCTCAGTAGCTTGAGCACGGGCTGCAAACCTAAGGGTCACCAGTTCAATTCCCAGCCAGGGCACATGCCTGAGTTGCAGGCCAGGTCCCCAGTACAGGGCACATTAGAAGCAATCACACATCTGTCCCTCTCTTTCTCCTTCTCTTCCTTACTCTCTAAAAATTAATAAATAAAAATATTTTTTAAAAAACAAAAAAAATCACCAAATTTTTTTGTGTAATATGATTCAAATAAAAATACCAGTAGGACTTTATTCTTGCAATGAGACAAGGTGATTACAAAATCATATGGAAAAATAAATAAGGCAATAGTAGTCGATAAATTTCTGAAATTTTAAAATGAGGAATTATTTCCGTTGCATATGAAAACATATTATAAAACCTAAATACTTAGAGCAGTTTGATGTAGATACAGGAGAGACTCAACACTGATGTAACAGATAAAAAATCTTCTAATATAAACAAATACAAATCAGTAGGAAAAAACAGACAAGATAACTGGGTAGTCAACTGGAAAAATATAAGTTGCTATTAACGAGCCACACACAAAAGATACAATATACTATAGCCAAAGAAGAAAAGATGAAAGAACTCTTAATCTTTTCAATTTAATTTAAATAACATGAAAGTTAAAAAATAATGACAAACCGAGGAAATCCATTTACAACTTTTATCACTAATGGTCAATTTCCTAAAGGAGTTCCTATCAAATCAATGGAACACTAATGGGGAGTCCATATATTATTTCTTACTTTAAATATTTTCAATCATCTTTGTTACCTTTTCAAAAATAGTGAATAAAATAAAATGAAGATCACTGTAGCTAATAGATTCACCAAAACTCTTACTCATGGAGGTTGACTTGTATGAGTGAGTGTGTTGAGGAAATTGAGAGGGTGCTTAACTTTCATAGCTGAGTTGAAAATAATGTGAAAATCAGTGCATAGCATGAACAGGCCAATCTACAAAGTGAGGAAATATTAGTTTACACCCACCAACCTCTACCCCTACCCCAATCATTCTCAGAGATTTTAGGGGAAGTTTTTAGACTTCTAGGGGGGCAGTTTACAAAATTTTATTCACCAAGCCTAGTCTCAAAACGTGTTAGTGATGGCTGGTGTGACTTTGGGCCAGTGCCTTCCTGTCTAATGACTGGTAGAACTTACAATTTTAAAAAATCTCTCTCATGGTAAAGAAATCCAGATTTAAGACGGCCTGGGGTGGTAGAGTAGCTTCAATGGTATCATCAGGGACGCAGTTATCTGTCTTTCCCCCACCATCCTTGGACAAACCTTCCACTATCAAGTCAATTAGAGGTTCCAAATGGCTGTTCGACCTCAAACCATTAAATCCACATTTTATAAATGTTGAGGGGAAAGAGATACACACAAGAGGGCATACTATATGATTCTTGTTCTATGGAGTTAACTTCTTTAAGAGCTCTTTATAGTGATACAGGTCAAAATAGTAGTTGTCTTCATGAGGAGTTGTTGACCCGGAGAGAATATACAGAAGCCTTCTGGGATGCTAGAATGATTTATATCATTACCTGGATAGCTGTTATGCAATAGAACTCCTGTACACTTAAGATCTTTACATTTTATCAAATGTAAGATAAGTGTCTAAACAAGGTGTATTCAACTTCTCTGAGCTTATCTGTATTTTACTAAGACTATGCTCTTCAAATAGATTGAAGCAACACAGTATCTGGTGGTCAGTGCCCAACTCTTGTTCTATTTTCAAAATGGAACAATCCATTTTGAAAAGTATGTAAATACAAAATACCCAGTTAGTGACTGGGCACCCATGAGAGCTTTGCCCTTCTTTTCTGGTACACACTACTATTTCTGTCCTTATTGTGCTTCCTTTTTGCTCATACCTGAGTACACTGATTGTCACCACTACTACCTTCAAAGGTTGAAAAGTAACCAAACCACAGTCTAATGGAGTAGGTAAAATTGTGGCCATTATCTTACTTTAGGAATACCTGGGCTCAAACCCTATCTTCAGTTTGCATTTAATGTTTCTCTTTGAAGGGATATAAAAATAATGGCTTTCACCTACTCCTTTTCTAATTCCTAACAGAGTCCCTCTGTGAGTATTTATGAGGCAATGTGTCATGTTCTTTATATAGTGTCTGATGTGTAATATAAGGTAGTAGTAATTTTTATTATTTATTATTTATTGCTATCATCATCATCAAATTAGAGCACAGGGATATTAAATGATTCTATGGCTAAGAATTCCAAATACACTGGTTAATATCCTTATGGATGTGAATATCCTACTAAGAATGTTCATTTGGCCATGAACAGTTTTTCAATTGAGAACTTCTTAAAGAAGCTGAATCCAATACAAAATACTTACCCACTTAGCGACTGGGCACCCATGAGAGCTTTTCCCTTCTTTTCCGGTATACACTATTTTTTCTATCCTTATTGCTTTTCCTTTTTCCCCATACCTGAGTACAAAACACAGTGAAATGGAAATAATTGCACTACACACTTTTAACATCTTAATATACACAAGATAACATTTACAGAAGTATAAAAATCAAACATTCCTCATCATTTATTTTTGTTAAACATTTAGTTTTCTGTGGCAGATATTTTGTTAACCAGTTGTTTGTTTACTTCTCCTTAAAATAGCCTCACTGCAAGATGGACAAAAAGGATGTATATAGTATAGATAGAGGTCATTTGAACTATTCTACCATTATTACACAATTATATATATATATATATATATATATATATATATATATATATATATATATATATATATCTTAATTTAGTACAGACAGTCTTGCATTGTCAGTGTCTTGTTGAGTGCCCAATGGCTCATATGGTAGCTGGTTCAACAGGGACCCCAGGAAACTATTCTTTCCCTGGGCCGTAAGAAACATCCAACTCATACTCCTCCAGGTTCTCCGTTCCCCTCATACTCCTCCAGGTTCTCCGTTCCCCTCGTGCTGGTGCGAAGAGAGAACTTCTCTGCCTTGAGCCAGGTCCATAGTAACGAATGGTTTTAACAGGGAAGTACATTTTCTCACCTATTCTCCATGATTTCCCTGACAGCAGCCACAGTTGGTCCTGCCCCAAGGTGTGTATAATATGGGCCTTTTTCTTTTTGTGTAACTCGATCTGTGGAAGGAAAAAGATTATGAGACCCAAGGTTTTACAGAGCTGTGTAGGGGCAAGGAAGAGGTGTTTTTACTTCCCCCCCCCCCCCAATTCAGAACAATGAATTTTGACAAGGTTTTGGCAAGCTTTCATAATTAAAGTTTAGGGCAATAGAACCTGGAATTTAGCTTGTTACTGTTCCCTTCTGCTCCTAATTTTTTCTTCCCCAGAAAAACAGAGGGGCAAGAATATTTTAAGATGTGGGTCATATTTATTCTCTTATCTCCTGCTTTAAAAAACTTATTAATAATTGCAGTGCAAAGTTAAAATTTATCCGAGTGATATATTTTTAAAGCATGGCCTCAGACTCCTATTGAGCCCCAAAATTGCACTGCTAAGAATTTATTCTACTCTTTGCTTACACATTATATAGTTATAAATTGAATGTACACAAGAATGTTCCTCATTACAAATATTTGAAATACCAAAACAGAGAGAGAGAGAAACACCCTTAACATCTGTCAGTAAGTCAAAGTTAAATAAATCAGGAGATGTTTATATAGTAGAAAACACTGAAGGTATTAAAGCAATGATATTTAAAAACATTGAAAAATCTAAGAAATGTATAAATTTTTATTTTTAATTTTTTTCAATTACAGTTGACATTCAATATTATTTTGTATTAGTTTCAGGTGTATTAACAAATTTAAGAATTCTTAAGATAAAAAAGCAAAATCCCTAAAATAGTGTTCTAAAGGACTTATGTTTTGTAAAATTTCAAACAAAATTAAAATCAGTATAATATTGCCCTGGCTGGTGTGGCTCAATGGATTGAGCACTGGCCTATGAACTGGAAGGTTGCAGGTTTGTTTCCCAGTCACAGCACATGCCTGGGTTGTGGGCCAGGTTCCCAGTTAAGGGTGTGTGAGAGGCAACCAATTGATATTTCTTTTGTACATGCTTCTCTTCCTCTCTTTTTCCTTCCCTTCCTCTATCTCCAAAAATAAATAAAATCTTCTTAACAATCAGTATAAGGTTAATTCATATAGAAAAACTGTACCAGAAGTTATGTCTTTAGAGAAGGAGACCTATTAGATGTTTGCATCATACTTCTGTACCATTTAAATTTTTACGAATGCGAATTACGCATATCTTAGAAAACAGTACTCTTAACTTGGTCTCTTAAAATCATGTCTAACTAGGATCACTGCAGAATGCATTTCTGGCCATGGGGTATCCAGCTACACCAAAAGTCATTATTGAACCATTTTAATTGGCCATCAAATATAACTTGGGATTAAGATCTGTACCTTCTTAAGCAACATACAATGAATAGATTTTAACTTATTGCTGGTGATCTGGAACCATAGTTCTTAACCGGGTGATTTTTTCTGAGGGAACATTTGACAGTATTTTTGGTTATGACAACTGGGTAGGGGTGTGTGTGTGTGTGTGTGTGTGTGTGTGTGTGTGTGTATGTGTGTGTGTGTGTAAAGGCCAGGAGTACCACTAAACTGCCTGCAATGCATAAGACAATCTCCCTACGACAAAGAAGTATTCTGTCTAGGTGTGGCTCAGTAGATGGAGCACTGGCTGGCCTGTGAACCAAAGGGTTGCAGGCCAGGTCCCCAGTAGGGGGCCTTCAAACCGCTGATCCTTTGGTTCACAGGCCAGAGCTCAACCCACTGACCCACACCAGCCAGGGCTAATGGCATTTTAAATTAGAGATCTTTTTCCCATTTATCATGATATTCAGAAAATCATTTTTACTTTTTTACTTCATATTTTTGAAACAACAGATGGTGAAAGTTACCAACACATGCTCTGGAGTTGGGACTGCCTGTCTCTGAATTACAGCTTAGTTATCTACTGGTGAAAACTTCTCTGTGTCAGTTTTCCTCATTTGTAAGACGGGGATAATAAGCTTTTTTTCTTTTTTTGTAAGGTTGTTGAAAACACAAATCCAGGGCATGGCACAGTGTCAGACTTGCAATAAATGATCTGGAATGGGTGTCATCACTATACCCTTCTGTCCTTGATCCTGGAACTTCTCAGTCTCCAGGTTCAGCCGTACCCAGACAGTACTGCCACCCTTTCCAGACTGTGAGATCCTTCTCAGAGGAGCCTATCCTTGGTGCCTGGCACATGGAAGGCTGTCAAAACTATGTGTTGAATTATAATTAGAAATGGAAGGATTCATTTCCCCAAATCAATGTACTTTGGATCATCAAGAACTGTAAGTCATTGCTATACTTCTCAATTTTTTCTACAGTGGTTAAAAAGTAACCAGAATAATATACTTTATCTCACCAAACAATCCTTTAACTACGCAGTTTGGAATAAACTACCTTTTTCTAATAAAAAGCCTTAGTATGTGATTTGGGGCACATTTTAAGAAAAAAACATATAATTAAACCTAGATGGGTTCAAAACAGGATATTTTACAAATTGTCCTATCATAAGTTGTATAAAAGCAGAAATAATGGGCTGCAAACAGCCAAACAAACTTTAACGACACAATCTCTTTAATCTCCTTACTTTTCAGCTACATTTAAGTAAATAAATTTCTTCTCATATTTAAGCACTTACATGAAACTTGACCATAAGGCACTGACTAATACTACAGGCTTAAAATTAAGCTTGCATCTGTTTCACATATCGAGCAAATTCTCATAAGACCTGTCTGAAAATCTTTACTCTAGCAAGATTTTCTCAGGGCTTTTAAAACACTGATCAAACTTTCTAAGGGCTTTTAAAACACTGATCAAACTAACTATTTGTTAGTTTCTGTATATTCTCTTTTAGTGATTCCTAAGGCACAATATATACAAACACATTAATTAGAAATTGGTCCACAACTCAGCTATTTCCACAAAACTATTTACTATTGTTGCTTGAAATAAGAAATCAATTATTTGTTTAAACATTTAAATATATTTTAAAACTGCGAAGGGTTTGCAAATTTTTCAACTGGCCAGAATTACAAATTTGTTTATATGTAGGCATCCCCTTTATATTGCAGATCATAAAAGCACTAGGTACTGAAAAAGAGATAAACCAGTTGGCTGGGGTTATCGGTGACACAGATACTTTCTACGGTGTTAAGTTGTACATATATTTTACATTCTCTGTGTGCATGTTATATATCACAACAGAAAAAATTTTTAAGCAAAAAACTTAGAGGTTAAAATTCTTTTGAATATAAGAAGAATGAACTGTAATAAAGTATTAAGGGAATTTACTCTTTTAATACGACAATAAACAACTGGAGAGACATTTAGCCTTGAGAGAAATCAGCAAACTTTCCACTTGAGAAAGTTTCCTAATTGTGAGTTGACTTTACAGTTTATCTGAGCAGAATCAATAAAGGTCCCATGGAAAAATGAGTATAGAATTATGTAGTCCATCTTAGCTAGAATAGGAGTAGGGCAAAAATGCCATATGTAAAATATAAACCAAATTTGACTTGGTCATGACTTAAAGCAATTCATGCAGGTAATGAAGAATAACACACACACCATACACAGGAACTTACCAATACAGTTGCAGGTCGGCAATTCAGTATCTTTTGTTTTGGATACCAGGTTTTTTGTAGAATTAGTAAAAAGGTTCATGGCATAATTATGACCATTATTCTGTGCATTGACTACTGGGGGACATTCTGATGCTCCAGCACTAGATAAACTGACGTCTTCATCACTTTTGGTAGAAACCACTGCAATTCCACCTGAATATGCTACATTTACATTCCTGAGAATTTGCACTGGGTCCAGTAAGGTCATATGAGATGGGCCAGGCCATACTAGCAGTCTCTGAGGATTGAGTTGGTCATTAACATCTTGCTGCAACTGTGTTTGGTCATTGTCAGCCATCACATTAGCACACTGATTAGTTGGAGAGGAGGGCTGGAGTAAAAGATGAGCATTCTGATTGACATTCACTGTTGGCTGTACCTGAGAAGTATAAACTTTTTCTGTAAACGACTGTCCATTGGATTCTGTTTGTAATAGGGATACGGGGAGAGAATCCAATGAATCAACCACCATCGTTGTTTCCTGTTGTGATTCAGGATTGTTTCGATGAAATTTTATCTGAGCTAGTGGAGGAAATAATTTTTTCTCTTCTGATGCTGAGCTTGTTTGAGTCAGTGGTTTGCATACTTTGGTTGTAGAAGGAATTGTTCCCAACAGAACAGGAAAATCACGAGTACAAAATTGACCAAATCTTTGAAATTTAGATGCCACCCAAATGTCATGTAACTTACTATACTCGTTTGACAACTGTTCCTGCTTTTTCTGGTCATTTTCTTGACAACTTGCGGCTTCAGGCTTCTTTTTCCGCCGATCTCTTGGTGGGGCAGGTTTTGTCTTTTTCTGGGTTGTGTTCTTCTGCTTTGTTAGGGGTGGGCTCTGATTATTTTGTACATTGGAAGGTGCTCTCTGTTGCATTGTTCCCTTCTCCTGACTGTGTGTGTGCTGTACATTACATTCAACAAGGTTTGTTGTTGTACTTTCCACATTATTTTCATTTGGTTTTATGTAATTGCATTTAATTATTGATGCAAGTTGTGTTAACTGTGTTGCGACATCTTCCTCTATTTTGCTATGAACTGTATCTTGACATAACAGATCGTCCTTTGAGTCCAGCTCTTCACTTCCACCCAGTGACTGGTTGCAGAGTCCTGGTTTACTACTTGTTGATGGCAACTGGAGATCAATTCTACTTGGAGCTACACTTTTATTGGTGTCAGTTATAGCTGAATTTGAATTTGGTATAATAAGAAATATTGGATTTTCCACTGTTGAGTATTCCTGTGACTTTGTGGATGCTTGGTTAGTAGCTGAGCTGCTATTAGACATGGAAATGATATTTTGGCCATTGAATACCACTGTGTTAAATGAACTTTGCTCTTCCAAAGATGGACACTGATTAAGGGTTTGAGGCTCCCCTTGTAAATTTGGTTCTTGGAGGTCGTCTCTCACCGAACAGAGGATAGCTTTACAGCTATTAAGCAAACTCGTGGTCTTCTGCCCTGTTTCTTCATCCTTCTCTGACTTCGATGGCGAGGAATTTTCTGAAGGGGCTTCTGAAAGCTGAGTCAAGGCTTCTATAGCAACCACTTGTTCTAGCGTTAATCTCCTGTCTTTTATTAGGAATTGAAGACTTGGTTGAACTGGAGATTCAAGTCTTGGTTCTTCACTTGGTAAATTTTCTAGAGATTTTGGTCGATCACTTTCATTGGGTGTACTGGTATGACTATACACATAGAAGTTTGCAGAACCTGGACAAGTCTTGGAGGTACAGCCAGGCTTCTGGAAGACGGAAGCATTACCCTTCCCCTTCAGATGATCACAGCTTGCAGTAGTGGCAATGGAGCTCATGGCATTGTTATGGTTTGCAGTATCTTTCAGGAGTTTATAGGAATTGTTTTCAAATGCCTTGCCAAATTCTTCAATGTTGAATTTTTGAAAAGACACACTGGTTTCAGTTGGTAAATAGTATACATTTTTAATGCCATTTCTTACAGCTTGTGGAAACAATTCTTGAGGTTCAAGGAGTTCAGTAAGTAGGACTGTGTTCCTGTCATCTTCAGAGGTTTCCGGTTTTTCAGCTTCTGTCACAATGGCCTTAACCTCTCTTTTGACTTGATCAGTTAAACGTGTTTTCTTGTTCTGCGCCCACTTCTCCACTTCAATGCCTGTCATACCTTCTTCATTCCCAGTTACATTTTCAGGGGGATGTACGTTCAATTCCAATTTTCTTTTTTCCCCCTGACCATGTCTACTGTATTCCATGGAATCTGACTTGGGGCCATTTACTGGTTTGTTGTTAAACTCTCCCTGTAAGACAAAAAAAGCAAATATTCATATTACCCATTTAAATATCTGAATAAGAGTCATAGGGATCTTACAATTTAAAAAAAAGTACATATAAAGCCCTAGAGAAAATACTATCACTTTCACGTGTTCAGAGAAATCATAAAATACCAATAAGAGGTGTGTAGAGAGAAAGAAAAAAGTGTAAACTATCATAATCACATGACTGTTAGTTAATAACTAGGTGTTTTTGGTATGTTTTTCTAAATAAATTTTTAAATAATTTTAAATTTGTATGATTCAATGGGCAATATTTGTATTGTGATGCAAAGTATACTAAAGTAGAACACACAGAAAGAAAATGTGTAAGTCATAAGTATATACCTTGTTTGGTTACCACAAAATGAACACCTATGTGCCTAGATTCTAACCAAGAAACTTCCATCTAGTCATCACTCCACTGTGAAAGGGTGCCCACTGCTTTGGATAGGGATGAAAGTTGGAAATTTTTACTTTAAAGTAATAGCTAACAAGCTTAGTCATTGATACACGTAATAAGCTGTTGTTTCAGCAACTGAAGGTAGGACCCACCCTGACTTTGGGAGACCATAAGCAGTTTCACCTTCATGCCTCAGGAGGACTGCAAGCCATCACGATGGTATCTGAGCCATCGTCCCCCAGGGTGAGACACCTGGGCACCCAGGACAAGATAAAGACTATCACCAGGAGCATCTGTGCACCCTGAGAGACTTTGCTGCAGTTTCAAAATCCAACTAACTTTTCCCTGAATTCCAAACCTTTTGCCTACACTTTGTTCTCCTTATAAAAAGGGCCACTTTAAAATGGAATGTAGAATGGTCTGTAAGGGTATAAACCCACTGTCTTCTCAGATTGCCTGAGATCTGAGTAAAGTGCCCATAAAGATTCAATCACTGTCTCTGCTTATGGGGTCTGGTAGGTGACAGGCAGCAAGAACACTGGCTTTTCTGTTTACACTTTGACATCTACATTGGCTTCTTTTGCTTATTCTTGAATTTTATACAACTGACATCCTTTCATTCAAAATTATATTTGTGAGAGTCACCCATGTTGTTAACTATATTTGTAATTCCTTAATGCTTATTGCTGTATAGTAGTTTGCTTAACATACTACAATGTATTTATCTATTCTAATGTAGATGGACATTTAAGTAATTTCTAGTTTTGGGTTACTACAAGTATATGACTATACTATTTTTTAAAAGAGTTTATTTATTTTTAGAGAGATGGAAAAAGGGAGAGAAACACCAACATGAGAGGAAAACATCTACCAGTTGCCTTTCGCACTCCCCCAACCAAGGACAGAGCCAGCAAATCAGGCCTGTGCTCTGACTAGGAATCGAACCTGTAACCTCTCACTTTATGGGATGATGCCCAACCCGCTGAGCCACACCAGTCAGATAATGCCTATACTTTTATTATTACTGTTATCTTTTGGTGTACACATACATATATGGAGCAGAGTGAAAATGTTGGATCATTGAGTGTGTAAATATATCTGTACATCTTCAGCCATAGTGGGTAGTGCCAAATTTTCTAAATGGTTACCAATACACACTCCCACCAGTGATTATGAGAGCTCCAATTGCACGACATTATTATTAACCACCAGTGTTTTTTGCCTTTTCATTTTGATCATTCTGGTGAATTGGTAGCCATGTAATCCCTTTAAAAATTTTTTTAAGATCAAGTTCCCATAAGATAAAATTCCATCTCACCATTTAAAATTGTATGTTTCGGTGGCTTTTAGTATATTGACAATGTGGTGCAAAACCCAACTCTTCTAACTGCAGAACATTTTCATCATCCTCAGAGAAATCTTGTACCCATTAAGCAGTAACTCTCTACTCTCCCCTCTTATATTTATTTTTTAAAATCTTGAAACAGCTCATCCAAAATTAAACCACAAGAATTGAGAGAGTAGGGGCATTTCCATTGACGTCAGGAACAAATAGAAAGAGAACTTCTATACTATGAACATTGGAACATGGCACTAGATGTTGTAGTCAATGGAGTGCTTTGTGACAATTTTTTTAATAGGATAAAAATGAGTACACTATACTTAGGAAAGATCATTACCATGTGAGTCTTCTGTGTGTGTGTGTCAGTGTGCAGAACCATGCTGCAAAATGTATTTGTTGATATGTATACCTGTCAAAACAGGTAGGTGCTATATTGCAATAAAAATTCAGAAGTCAAATGATAGACCGTGAAAATATTCACATGTTTAAAAATTTACTGTGACTTTTTTATATGTATAAAATGTTTTAGTCAGGTTTATTACATTATAATTTGTATACAATACAATGATCCTTTTCTGACCTGGCCTGGTTGTGGGTGAGGTGCCTGGTCAGGACACATGCAAGAATCAACCAGTGAAGGCATAAATAAGTGAAACAACAAATCAGTGTGTGCACGTCTCTCACATCAATAAATAAAATATTAAAAATAAATATTAAAATTCATATAAAACCATCCTTTTTCTGAGCACAGCTCTGTAGTTGTTAACAAACGCACAGTCGTGCAACTACCAGCACAACCAACACAGTGAACAGCAGCACCACCCGTCAGGCTACCACGTGCCTCCTTCAATGTCAGTTTAATGGTTTCTGTTCTCGATGTAAAAGAGCTCCAAGATATTAATAAAAAAAGGAAAATGACTCGATATCATAGTGAGTAGAGTGGGAATACACAACTCACTTAAGTGGAAATTAAAAGGAGCAAAACCTATTTGATTTTACTAGAAGATAAGCAAGTAAAAAGAACTTTTTCATCTGTCCAAGAAACAATAATAAAAAAGCAGAACTGCCCTAGCTGGTGTAGCTCAGTGGATTGAGCATAGGCCTGTGAACCAAGGGATCGTGGTTTGATTCCCAGTCAGGGCACATGCCTGTGTTGTGGGCCAGGTCCCCAGTGGAGAGCATGTGAGAGGCACCACACAATGATGTTTCTGTCCCACTTTCCTTCCCTTGCCCTCTAAAGAGAAATAAATAAAATCTTTAAAAGATAATAATAATAAAGCAGAAATGTATGCAAGCAAATTATAATGTAAGTCTTTGTATATTCATATTGTGAAATAATGTGCAGCCAATTACTCTATCAGCCTAGTGATTGTATGGCAAGACGTCTATAATATATCAGCAAGATATCTATAATATATCAGCACAAATATTTGTCTAGCACTACAAAGCCAGTCTGATAAACCTACAATGTTAATAGCACTTCCCACTATGGAACATTTTTTTTACTTGATGCTTGAAACACTATAGATATACATAGCCAAGTACACTGGAACTTCGATGTACACATTCCTTTACAAAAAATATCCTAAGGTCCTTTAAGATTTAAGTGCCCAAATTATAAGACATTCTCATTAACTAATGAGCTTAATTAAAAATGTGACCTTTATTATTTAACTGTATATCATATGGCTTCTTACAAACACAAATCTGTAATTACATGAAAACATGCTTTACACACTGCCAAATACTAAACCTAGACTCTAAGAAAACAATTGAACAGATTATACTTTATTAGCGGATAATAAGATTTTCTGTTCTGTATCCTCAATAATTACCTCTGACCTCTTGCAAACACATCCTATTAAATTTAATAGTGTGTGTGTGTGCATGCACACACGCTAACAAGATGGTTACCCTTGCTCTTCCTGCTCATAGTAGTAGAACTGAGTTTTCATAGTGAAATTTCCCCTTCACTGTGAAACTTAGTGCCAGAGTGAACACTACTGGGGGTAAAATACAAGTTGAGGCCATGTCAAAAGTGAATTGGCCAAACATGAATTGTATGGTATATGAAACGTATCTTAATAAAGCTGTTATTCCCCCCGCCACGAAAAAGTGAACCAGCACAGATGAGCGAAAAAGCAATTGTAAACATCTGTAAGGAGCCCTCAGTACAAAGGACCCAGTGCAGCTCTCTCTCTAGCAGCCCCTGCACGGTCCCTCCAGGCCTGTCTCTGCTGTCTTTCTCCTTCGCTCAGAGAGACCATCTTTTCTCTGCAACTTGTTTCCTGAACCCCTGCAGCCCAGCTCACTCTTCTGCTCCTGGAACCTTCTAAATCAACTTTTGCTTGTATTTGAAAAAAAAGTAACATGATCTTACTTAAAAATACAACTAAATAATGTATAAACATGTATTTGTAAATATAAGTGTTGTAAAGAACAGAAACCAGTAAGTGCTATGAATGGCTAATCTGGAATAGTAAGGTTGAGAAGAGAGCAATCCTGAGGAATTGTCGCCTAGGCAACGATACTGCTTGTTTACTTCTTATAAGTGATCACATAAATAGTGATGGACAACAGATGACAAAACATGACTAAAATGAGGTCTACTGACCTCACAATTCAAAGAATGTTAGCTGTTTTACAATACATTCATATACAATTCTCACTGCAACCCGAGCTAAACACTGAAAGCTGCTCAACTAGAAAAATGAAAATTAAAAGGACACTAAAATAATGTTTTTTCCTTATCGGAAGAGCAAACATCAAAAAGTTTGACTACCTAGGCTCTTGGGGGACCTGTGGGGATTACACTCTCAAACAGCAACTGGTTGGATCAAAAACTGGTACAACTTTATGGAGCACAATCTGTCAATAATCCTCAAAATCATAGATGCATGAGTGTGGAGGTATAAGAAGTTATAAGGGGGATAAATGGTAATAAAAATACAATAAAAACAAACTATTAAAAAATTATAAACAGTTTGATTCCCAGTCAGGCTACCTGACTGTGTTGTGGGCCAGGTCTCCGGTTTAGGAAATGTGAGAGGCAACCGATCTCTTTCTCTCCCACATCCATGTTTCTCTTCCCCTTTCCCCCTCCTTTCCCCTCCCTCTAAAAATAAATAAATAAAATATTTAAAAATTATATAATTCCACCCATCCCTTGACATAGCACTTTTACATTTGGAAATGTATTCTAATTATTTAAAAACAGAATTGCGTATGTTTGACAGCTTTGTG